GAGAAACAGGTAGACTACAATCTGTAATTGCAGGCCTACAAAGTGAAACGATATGGTAAGTGGAGCTGGTAAAACGGGCAATGAGTGTATATACAGGGGTAGGTGTAGTTAATGAAGTGGCTGGTCAGTATATAATGTTATAAATCAGGTTATAGATTTGTGAAATATATGCCTTTATTTTCCAGCAATGGAGACAAACTGGATTGCAGCTGTGGAGAACTCTCTTCGAAAAGAAACAAATCCTAATGTAAAGAGGACAATTCAAATACTGTCTGGTGAGAGTCAAGATGCCTTTATGTCATCACAACTGCACTACCTTGAAGAAAATGGGCTTGGCAAATTTGTAGGCATGAAGAAAAGGCATGACGATCAGTTTCAGTGGCGATTGTGTAAGAGCCAGTCACTGCAAGGAGAAGTCTACTGGAGACCCCAAAAAAACAAGAGCCAACAACTGTGGGGCCTATGTATCTTTCACATTTGTAAACAACAACTGTTATAAAGGGTGCATTATACGAATGATGAGCCACCACTCTGGACATGATACCAACAGTCCCTTAGAGAGCAGTGTTATCCGAATTCACCCTGATCTCATTGACTGCATTTATACCCTCATTCAGCAGGGTCATACAAATGCTGAAGTACTGCTCTGTTGCAAAGACTGGTCGGACACCCACAGCAAGTCGTATCTCAAGGAAAGACGGTACCATGTAACACCTGATGATATTACTTTTGTACGGAAAAGCTATAATGCACACAGTCACATGGATTCAAATGACTGTGTTCGTGTGGACCGATTAATCAAAAGTAAGCTTAAAGATGACATCATCCACTACCAGCCTCTATCACACTCTGAAAAGCAGGCACTCATCATTGTTTTAGCACACCTTGGCAGAGAGAGCAACTGAAGAAATATGGGTCTGACATGATATACCTTAATGCAACATACAAGGGTATAACTCAGTATGGATTTGCATTTTATGCTGTCATCATTAAGTCTCCACAAGGTTGTGGAGTCCCAGTGGCCTTCTTCATTTTAAGTGAGGAATCTACAGAGAACCTAAGCATATGTCTTAAAGCTGCAAGAGTCTGCCGGTCCCTTTCAACCAAGGTAATACTAAAAGGTCCAATAATGGGGTACATATGGATAAGAAGACCAGATTTTTGCTTTTAAATGTATATTTAGCATGATATGTAATATATTCTGATGGTTATACTTGAATACTGCAGGGGTATTTCACAAATCAGGATTACTGGATAACTCCACAGTGACAGTTTTGACTCAAGTATTCCTTCTGTCTTTGGTGAATTTCCAAGTTTCATTTAGATTAGTTATCTTGTTCTAACTCCTGCACTTGCGATGTGAAATACATGTAAAAGGGAATTCCGCAATTTTTCTGCAAAATGAAACACAGAGACACACTTTTGGTGTGTTTAAATTGAAACTGTGCATTGTAGAGAAACTTAGTTACCCAGCTTTCTGTACAATGGTGGTGATAGGAACCAGGGTTTGTGATGTCTACAATGCAAATATAGCCATTTAATATTTACTGTCCAAAATGACCAGTGAAACTACACGTGTCTTTGGAGATTTTAGATATTATATTAATAAAGGTAAAATAGTGCTAAATTTGAAAAAATACATTTTTGAGTACTATAAATATTTTTTTTGATTTAAATTAATTTAAATTAGTTCTCACCAAGACTCTCTGTGAAGTAACTTTTTATTCATTTAGACATCTAATTCCTATCATCACCACTTCCTTTGTGTTAATAGATGCCTCCATAACTGATGTACAAGACATAAGTCTCAAAAGCTGATGGTAAAGATTGCCACCTTCTAGGGTAATAAAGACAAGTTATCATTTAGAACTTGGTAGAACTCATGTGTCTCTAAGGCTGATGTAAAAAGTATAATTAAATTATATAATTAATATAATTAAAAGGCTGATATGAAAGACTGACATCCTCCTCCAGGTTGATTATTATCAATGATTATTTCGTGTTGCAGTTGTAGTGTGGCAGCTGTCAGATGCCAATGCTGATGCACAAGACACTATACTCCAAGGCTGATGGTAAAGACCATCACCTCTCAGGCTGATAAGAAGGCCAATGGTCATTTCACGCTGTTGCATCTTTAATAATACTCAGTCATGTACATCTTATTCATATACAATTTCAGGTGTGTCATGGTAGACAGAGACCTCAAGGAAGTCAATGCAGTACAGAAAGTGTTCCCACACTGTATAATATTGCTTTGCTGGTTTCATGTTCTTGAGGTAACATTCTCTCATAACCACAGAATAAGAAGAGCTAGCATAACTGTGCACATGTATTTTGTTAAGCAAGTATTTTTGTATGTTCTATATAGGCAGTTCATCGCTGGATGCAACGTCAAGATGAATGCAAAAAGCATTCAGCTGTGAAAGATGAGGTCATCAGGTCAATGATGGCTCTCAAAGAATGTGCAACAGTGAGTTATAAACATAGTTCTCTCAAAAATGTGTTGTCTGTAGATGGTCCCTTAAAACTCATATTAGTCTTCATTGGTTTTCCAGGAATCAGACTTTGAATAGAGGTCAAACCAAGTGGTAGTCAGCGTTGATGAACTCACAGGCACCACAACCATCTCAAACTATTTAAAAATGCAGTGATTTCAACATTCTAAGATGTGGGCCAATTTTGGAAGAAGAGTATTAGTTTAATTAATTGGCAGTATTCCTTTTCCTAAAACCAAACAAACTTGTCTTTTCATAGTTAAGTTTAGATTCTAACATATTCTTACTTCCTTTGTGAAATATCTCCATCGATAAAATACAAGACAAATACATACTAACTTATAAATATAGACCTATCTGGATACTTCACATTTAGGAGTTGTACAATAACTATCTAAAAGGCAAAGTATATACATTCAATGCATTTAATCATTCAATCCATGTAGAAAAGAGATGTACAAATCATAAATGCCCCACTATCAACATTACTATAAAAAATCCACTAAAAAGAATACAAAATTGTTCATACTATATGGTTCATACTATAGATATAAAGTCCCACCTTACTGCATGAAATTTATAAGAATCAAGTAAGAAATGTTATGGCTTTGGTGAGTCAAATCTAATTGCTATTAGGCAAGTGTATGTACTTTTATGGGAAACAGTCCATACCATAGAGACTCTGTAGCAAGTAATCTCATATATTCAGGAGTAGTAAAATCATGGAAAAAAAAAACACATCCAATTATATTTTTATAGGCGGCTATGGATAATACAAGCACCAAATTGTCATTAATTATAAATTTCTGTTTTAGTAGTAATACATTTGAAATGCAAAATAATGAAACAGATTTTTTTTTTAATTGATCTTTATTTTGATTAACAATGACTTACAACAAAATGTTTCAGCACCACAAAGCCAATACCTAATATTGTTTGGCAAGGTCTTATCTACAGAGAGAAGCACTATACCATAGTCACCAGGAGTCTGTTTATTTTTTACCTGAGCAAAGAAATCATAGAGTTTCTCTATGTGTATCTGTATCTGTATCAGTTTAGAACACATTATCTATTATTTATAAAACCATGTAATTTATTCATATTTAGTTACATCCCTAACTAAACAAAACATAAATTAATTTATGTTGTTCATTTCTTTATTTGTGTTTATTCTAATGTTTTATAGTGTTTTTTACTGGATAAATTATTTTAAACGTTTGCACAATATTTAATCATGGAAAACTAACAAATTTGTTGCAAGGCAGGAAGAAAAACAGGCAGTGATTCAGGCAGACATTTAGATGTTGATGTTAACTGGAACCATGGATCCTTGGACACATTTATGTGTTGAATTATGCATAGTATTAGTTTGGGAATTGGAAAATGGCAGGAGGCTTGAACAATGAATGAACAAAAAATAAAAGAACACTGTATTAAACTACACATTTTAACTGAATCTGTCATTTTGTGTAATACATTCACAATGTCAAACCCCACCCCCAAGAACAGTATTTCTATATATTACTATATATTAGACAGACTGGTATGAACAGGGGAAGAAAGCAATAAACTGTATTATGGAGAGGAGGTTCTTTGTTGTGATTTTCTGGGTGTTGAGAGGGAACATAAAGTGATCCAAATGCAGCAAATGAAGCAGAGAAAGTAAAAAAGAGGAAGGAAAGCAACCCATTTTTCACATTTTTCAAAAAAGTATTTTATTTACTATATTGGCAGATAATTGTGGGTGTTTCAAGCAATATTTCTTAAAGTAAAATTATCTGCCCATATAATGTATATAATCTCGTTTAATAAAATTACTCAAGTAAAAACATCTAGAAATAATTAAAATAATCATATCTTTTTTTATAATCTTTTTACAACAGTCTCTAAATGACAAATATTAGACACATTGACATTGAGATTTAAGATGGTTTCTCTTGCCAAGAGATCATTTCATGCAAGGTAGTTTTGCACACTGCACTTGGTTTACACCGTCATGTTTTTTGCTCCATGTGTAGTCCTGTGTTCATATGGAGATGTTGAACTGTTGTTCAAATAGAAGCTTGTATAATTACTTTCTAACAAACATACTTTTAAAAACATTTGCGTTTTAATTTAGCTTTTAAAATTAGCACAGTAATAGAGTATATTTATCTTTGTTTTATTTTTTATTTTTGCATTTTTAATCATTCTATTTCATTTTTAATTATTATTTTGGCCTGTTTTCCTATTTAAATGTTGATCTTTACTACTTTACTGTAAACCAAAAGCACTCTATAAAGTTTTATAGTTATATGAAATAAATAAATAAAGAAATAAAACTATATAAAATTTATATAAATTTATTTATATTTTATTTCTAAAGTATGGTCCAACCTAAATATGGACTTAATAGAAAGTGAAACTTAATAAATTATTTTTAACATAGAATTCTCTGAATCCCCTTTTTGTGTATGTTTGTTAGTGGCCAGGTTCTGTTGTTCCATTTCTGTTGTCCAAGTTTTGTTTGTTTTATTGCCTAAATTCTAAAATCTAAATTCACCTGTACAAAAATATTAGGTATTTGTTATTTTATTTGGTACATATAAGATACATGCTAAACTTTTAATTATAGACACCTTCCTGTCCTTTGATACAAAATTCAGCAGTGGATTTGATGCCTGACTGGAAATGTTTCAGGTATAACCTACAAAAAGAGTATAAAATTGCAATAAATCTTTTCCATATGGCCGATATAGTGCTCTTTGGTGCATAGTCCATGACAGTATGTTTGTGAGATCTGCCACACTTGAGGCTCAACTCTGCCTTTTAGTGTATAAAGCATTTGATAAAGATTTTGTGATAGACAACAGGTGGCGCTATTTATTTAGGATAATGTTATATACCACTCAATGATTGCAGGGATTTTAATTTTGTGCAAGGCAGTAAGAAAAACAGGCAGTGATTTATGCAGAAATTTAGATGTTGATGTTAACTGGAACCATGGATCCTTCGACACATTTATGTGTTGAATCATGCATAGCATTAGTTTGGGAAAATGACAGGTGGCTTATTTTTACAAAGGAACCTGTAAGATATGAATTTTACAACAACAACAAACAATGAATGAACACTGTATTAAACTACACATTTTAACTGAATCTGTCATTTTGTGTAATACATTCACAGTGTCACACCCCACCCCCAAGAACAGTATTTCCAGGAATCCCCTTGTGACTGTCGAAGGGATTCCTGGGAAAACTGGACCCCGGGGGCAGGGATGAGAGGGCATATACATAGAAATACAATGACTTTTACTCTTACAAAGTTTTAAAATTTTACTGTAACACTGATATCTTTTAGCTGTAGCAATGCCCCCATTCCCGAGCTACAGTGCTTCATCTCAGACTCCCAGTTGACCAGAGATGCAGCACTGCACCTTGGGCCTGAGGACTGGTACATATGGGCCTTGGATAGGGCTTTTCTGTGCAGGCCATACCCACCTTCTCCTGTTCTTTCAGCTTGGACTGGGATCTCTCTGAGTTTCCCTAAAGAGGATCGATTTAGACCTATTAACAGCACGCAGATTTCAAGTTTGGATCGTCCAACTTCACCTCCAGGCCTACCTGAATTGTGGGGAAAAAGCAAAGAGGAACGCTGAGAAAAGAAGTAAAAATGTTTACCTCAAGCTTAGTATACCTTTTTTTCCATTTATAAAATACTTATTGCTTTTTATATATGAAATGTGCTTTCAGGTGTCTTTGTTAAGTCTGTTATTGTGCATGAGAGCAGAATACTAAAAGGGAAAGACTTGGAAATGTGTGGGGTTGGGCCTGTAAAAATTTTGACACTTTGACACCTGTTTGTATGCATTTGATTGTTTTTCCTGCCCCTGTGCCATAAGCTCCTTTCAAACATTCCTTGTCTATGATTCCTTATGTGTCCTCCCTGCTTATATGTCACTGTCATTGCACCTCATCCTAACACCTCCACTTTCTGAGATCATGCTACATGCCCCTTTTCTGTCCTATCAGGCTACTGAATACTGTAATAGGATTGAATACTTTTATCAATAAGGAGACGACGGTACAGTGGCAAAATAACCCGTGGTTTTTGGGGGTCCGATGTTGACCGGCTTCTCCAGCATTGGCGGGCTGCTAACTCACTCGCCATAGCGAAGCTGATTGGTTAACAATTCTTCTTCTGAAAATGCTCTTTTGTAGTTTGATACTGTGGTCTTCCACACATTATTTGAGATCTTAAATATATTCTATATTTGTCGTCAGTTTGAGAAATGAGTAACAATTCACTCCTTCTAGCAAACTCTTGGGAAAGTGGGCTAGTTTTCAGATTGACAAATATGGTACAGCCAACTGGGTAAACCACCTGGGTGAACAAATTTGCTACAGTGCTACCCTGAGGCAGACCAGTGCTGCACCTCTAGTTAGTTAAGAATACCAAACACAGAAGCTTGCCAATTGTGGGTGAAGCAGGCTAAAAATGACCTTTCCCTGAGTGTCTATTTTCCCCTAATGGAGAACATAACAACATAAGTTTATTTTCACAGACCCCTCAGAATGTTGTGTTGAGACTTTCAGGGGGTTCAAGAGGTTTATTAGGAGGTTTCAGACCCTCCAGGACCCCCTGTATTTTGCATCTTGCAAGGGTATAGTAAAAGTGGTAATGATCAATGCTCACCATAGTGGATTTGACACTTAGTTACAATCAGAGGCAGTCAACACTAAATTGATTTTTTTGTTTAAGTGTAAACTTGTTCATACACATGCTTGTTATTTTGTTAATGCATGTTATTATTATTTTTTTAAATCATATTCACATTATGTACTCATAATGTCATTTTTTAAGGTATTTGAGTGTACAGGGCCCCTATAATTGATGTCTTCTGCTGTGGTAGTGTGCTTTGCTCTCTATGGTAAACTAGTCATTGCTTAAGGGGCACATTTTGGACATTACTAAATGTCCCTTCCATTCCTCTCTCATGTCTGCCCTCATCATGCACTTCATCCCGCTTCCGCACACACTCATTGTTTCCTCTTTATAAATCACAGAGATCTTGAAGATGTGCGCACATGAATGAGCCTTGTGGTACCTCCCACAGTCCATAAATGGTCAAAGCAAATTACTTAACGAATATATAAATGTGGTTTGCCTCATTCATTGTTGAGTGGGAAACTGGCAGCAACAGTGGAAAGGGCAAAAAAGAATAATTTTGAAATATGGAATTGGAATTTTGCGAAATGTAAGATGGAATTTGTCATTTTCTATTCCCATAGCATCATCATCATCTATAAATTTCTGTGTATATAATTCACATTTATCACTTAAATTACTCCCTTTGTTCCTGTGATATAGCATAATTTTTAAGCATATAACTAACCCATACCAAGAGTATGCAAGGCTAAAGTACAGCCTTCATACGGCACGGTTAGTTTCAATATCCTGCTAAATAAGCCTTTCAAAATAAACCATTAGAATAATTCACATCCCCCATATACATTCTAAACACTTTATGTTTTTGTTAGAATATTTTAAAAATATTTTTTGTGTATTATGTTTTTTTGTTAATATGCATGTTAGGTTAATATAACGTGTTTCAGTTTTATCGTGCTAATACTTGCACTATTTTGTGATCAAAAATACATTTGCCAGTGTCACAGTCACAGTTCCTTGTTACTTGTCAGATTAGATTTTTAATAAAAGAAAAAAGCAAACAAACACTGTAGCATATAAATAGTTTAGCAGAACATGGCTGGTATAGCAATTTTTGTTTAAATTTACAGGGAAACAAAACAGGAGTTCAGTGTTTGATATCAAAACTGATTATGTGAGTTTATTTGATCTTTAAAATGTGGTATGCGCAAGATAGTTGTTTGCTCATTTAACTGTAATTCCCTACTTTAGCAAGGGTGTTCATAGAGGTGCTTTAACTTGAACTGGACCTACAGGTTTAGTTAAAATCCACAAAATCAATATAATGCAACACAATTCAAATTAGTTCCTTCCTGATTAACGTGGACAAATTGTGCAGGCTTTAGTAAGCATGTAAAGAGGTCTATCTATCTATCTATCTATCTATCTATACATCAAAAATGAGCAGGACATGCTCCATGCTTTCTTTTCCATGTGGTGGGCTTATCTTCCAACAAGAACATGACCAGAGTGAAGTTGTATTTACTAATTAACCATTTGCTGTATACAACCTTCCTGTGAGCTCTCTAATGTGGTGCCAAGGTACGCCTGTGCATGAAATTGGCCATGGGTGTCCTGAATATATATATATATATATATATATCGGCATCAGAGGTTGCATGTGTGCAAACACACCATTTATTTATGAGGCCTCAAATTGACATCCTTAAGATCTGTTCTGAGATTCAAAGAGAAGACTTTACATTACACTCTGATAGAGTGATTACCAGCAGGATTAGGTTAAATGAATAAATTTTATTTTCTGTGGTCAGCTCCACAACCTAAATCTTAACTTTTAAGTACCCTTTGTGTATCTAAGTATCACTTATGATTTTGCTAAATCCCATTTTAGTGCCAACTTTCACTTTTTCACATAGGTTTTCATACCATTTATGGCAGCAGTGGCCTATATACTTACATTTGAAGCTTGGGAATCATTCAAGTTGCATATTCATTAATTTGTACATTTTCACTTTACCGTAAAAACTGTAATTTAAAGCCTAGCTTTATTGAAGCATGCAAAACCTACTTGAATGCTAACTGTAGAGAGTTTTATGAACATGATTTTTAGACATTTGTAATTTAACTTAGTACCTCCTTACTATGCGAGAGTATTCAAGTGGTCAAGTGTTGCTGTGTAAAGTGGAGCTGTTGTGTTCTCTTTGTGCTCTAGTGTACAGACCCCATCAAATCAATAGGGATTTCCTTCAGGAATTCCTTTACTTTTTCTCAGTTGTTTTACCTAACGCTGATAAATTTCTGATTCTTGGTGACTTTAACCTTCATGTCTACTGTTGGTCCAAGCCTTTAAGAATTTTTACAACTTAATGACTCTTTTAACCTGACTCAGTGGCCCTACATATGAGCATGGACATACTTTATATACTTTACACACGCCTTATTTGAATACCCCATTAACTGCACCAAAATTTTTAATGGTATTTTCAAAAAGACGTGCTTCTAACACACATAAAGTACATCATAATATATCATATAATAAAAAGCGTAATTGCCTTGTTTGCCTTGACTTAAACTTGTTGAAATTGTTACATACATACAGTGCCCTCCACAAATATTAGCAATGCTAGTAAACATGACCAAAACAGACTGTAAAAAACGATCTTCATTGCTCATTATTTTGATCTTTTATTCAAAATCTTAACTATTACTAAACTCGCCTTCACTGACTCAGGACTTAAATCGAGACTTGACTATCTTGACTTGGGACTTGACTCGGGACTTGAGTGTAAAGACTTGAGACTTACTTGTTACTTGAGACTTGTTCCCACCTCTTGCAGAGGGCTATATATATATATATATATATATATATATATATATATATATATATATATATACAGCACAGGAAGGGCTGATTAGTTAAACTAAGTTTATTTGACGTTGACTGTAGTGTAAATACTAAGCTTCCTTAAGATAACATGCTCACATGCAAAATGCAATTTTCTTTTTTTTGTAATTATTGTAATTTTTGTGTTTTCTGAACAAATAAATGCTTACCACCCAGATAGTGGTTTTACATATTGAATTCTTGAAATCTAAACAGTCAGAAATGCATTTATTCACAATGAGTATGGAAATGCAACTTTTTAAAAATGCTGTGGGCATTTGGAGCATATGTGCTTTTGGATTTTTGACAGGGTATGATGTCACTGCTGATGCCAAAGCAAAGCTGCCTTTAATACTTCTTCAGTTTCTATTTTGCATACAATGTAAAACATGTTTGCCTGGTTTAATATGTTCTAGTTTCTCTTCCTTTCTCCTCCTGTACGTCTTGCATCATAACAAGTGTAAGTGTTAACTTCCACAGTAGAATATGAGTAAGAGTAAGATAGATGGATGGATGAGGAGAGAAACACGCTGACAGACAGACAGACTCACACCCACACTCAGAACAGCCCTCTTTATCCTGAGGCTAGGGAAAATGTTGCACTGGAGAACTGTGTTACTGTTACTGTGACTGTCATTTTTAGAGTAAAATAAAGTTTAGTTACTATTATTGTGTTAGGTCAGCCTCACCTTGAGTGCCATGGGTCCAGTCCCAGCTGATTATTGTTCCAACATGTTGTCTTGCCACTCCTCACACTGTTCCAAGAGAAAAAAATATCCCTGTGCTGTCATTTGAGGTGAACTCATTATTATCATCATAAGAGTCTAAAATGTCCTAAATGTATTGGGTTTGATAAGAGCTTTGAAAATCATACTTAACTGAATGTGTGGATTATTCACTTTATCCAGGAATGGACAACTTAACAAAAATGTTGTAGAGAAGGAAGAAAAGAAACAACGCACAAAATTCCTAACGTCTTTCTTAGTCTTTTCCAAGAACTGAGAGCTTTAGATTGTCTGAAATACCTCATCTGGAACCTCCCTGAGTCCATATAAGGAATGGATTTTATTTTGGGATAATGGAAAATGTAGTCGTGGTTTTGATAAACACTCTTTGAGCCTCTTACAGCTAGTGATTGTGGAAGCAGATAGTTTGTCACTGCTCACTGTGGCCTCCCCTCCCCCTCTCTGTCTCCTTGCTCAGCTCACATACATTCCCTTTTCTAGTCACGTCTACTGCAGCCCGACATAAAAGGCTAAGAGAAGTGAAGGTGAAAAAGAAGCCAAAAAATGCAGTAGTGGCCATGGTGAAGGGTATCTCTGATGTCATTTAACCCAGATTGCTGAACTGCCATAGATCTGAAAGTTTTATTTATTTATGAGCGTATTGTTTCTTGTAAAGTGTGTTGAAAATGTTCCCTCTTTGTTATGTGGAACTCAAAGAAGGCAACACAAAAATACACCAAACACAACCTCCAGACTTATATGTAACAATGTTAATATGCTGGAAAATCATCTAATTTTAAACAAAATATTTTCTTTCTTTTTACCTTTTATGCAAGTAAATGTTTCCTGGTTACTAGTGCAGTGTGCAAGTAGAATTGATTATAAAATGTTTGCAAAATCTTGAGACATGCCTGCATTTAGACTTGTCTATAGTACATGTTACAGTGCTAAAGTTCATTCGACAACTGTCAGCATCTCTCACCATCCAGCTGTGTGCCCACAGATACTGTTCTCCTAACAACATGGTGAAACAAAGAAGCCCATGCAAGTCTTTATATGGTATCCTGTATGAAGCAAGCACTTTCAAAAAAGAAAGGAAACTGTCACTTGAAGGTGTCAAATGCTATACAAAAACATGGGGCACGAGACAAAAGGGCATTTTATAAATGTTTTTTATAAGCACACTTTGTGCCTCACGTCTCACAAAAACATCCTTTAAAAAAAAACAAAAAAAACCAAAAACCTGCTGCCCTTTTGTGATCAACTACTAGGATAAAATCAGAAAATCTTTAGTAGCATAGATTTGAGTTAACTTGGGTGTATGTGAGGAGAAAGAGAGAAAGGGGAGAAATAGGGAAAGAAAGAAAGAAAGAAAGAATGACAGAGAGAGAGAGAACTTCAGTGTTCAAGCCTGACAGACCAGGCTTAGGCAGAAATGTTCACATCCATAGACAAGGCAGAAACTGTTTACACAGACACAGACACTGTGCTGATAATGGAGAGCAAGCACTCTTACACACCCAAACATTGCCTTTTAAGGCCCCCTTTCATTTCTCCTCATCTCCTTAAATAATCTCAACAGGAAATGTCAGGGGTTGAGGTGGGGGGCTGGCTTCTGGTAGTTACATCCCTCCTCTCTCGCCTCAAATGCTGGGGATAATGTGCTCCAGAGCATGTAGCCTCTTTCTAAAACTAAAACATTCATTTAGCCTTCTACTGCTATTGCTCAGACATAAATTGGACAAAGGAATGTATAGAAAAAAAACCTTGTTACATATATGTATCCTGTGATGTCTATGTCTCAGTGATCTTAGGTTATTTCTTTAACCAGATTAAGAATAAAGGTCCCTGTTACCTTTCTTAGGTAGGCAGTGGCTGGTGTTTGAGTACAACTGGAGCCTTATTTGTCCGACAAATGATTCTGACATTTTATTAGTAGAGACAGGAGAAGGCCTTTACAGAGAAATAGCACATGAAGATGTTTCTTGGCTAATTTCCTCTTCATTTACAGTTTCATTGACACCAATGAGAGAGTTACGTGCTTCCATCAGTGTACAATAAAGTGGGTTAAAGTGATACAGCAATTATGTTAAAAAGAATTTGTATGACACGTGAGATCATTTAATTTTTTAGGTACATCAACATTTCCTTTGACGAAGCAGAGACATAATAGAGCCTTTACAAAACAAATTCTATGAACATTCTTAAATGCATGTAGTCATTATGCTGAGTGGCTGGATGCATGGAAACAATTTGCAACATATGAGTCTAGACCAAGAACAGTCAATGCTTAAACCCCGTTTTTATGTATGTGAAGAGCCTGAAGCCATCTATATCATTTAGGGTTTGGGCCAGTCCTTTTTGAGCATCCACTCCCCCTTACTGTTCATGTGAAAGTGACCCTGAGATCAAGGGTCCCCAGGGGCTTGGGAAGGGGGGCAAGCAACACAGGGGACAGGCCAGAGAAGCGGGGGCATTTGGGTCATGTGAAAGCACTTGGCTCTGATGGATCCCAGACTTTTGACTCCTAGGAAAATAAATAATGTGCTTCCTCTCCCTCCCTCACAGCCCCCAGTTCATGGATTTCATCCATGTTTCCATCTAATCTGTCCATCTGTCAAATCAGAACAAATACATTTGCACTGTTTCGCTGGTAAAAAAACAAGGGGTAAAACAGAGTAACCGCATATTATTTGACTGTCATTTGGTAGCAATCATTTGGGCTGCTTACAAAGAATGGGCCAAACTCATGAATGCACAAATTTAATGAGTGGCCTTACAATTTTGCATTGCTGCAAAAAGATTTAAAAATCATTAAAGAATACTGCTATATTTGAGTATGCTTCAGTAAGTAACATTGGAATAGATAACAGCACTGTAAAATGCTATAATATGCAGACAGCAGGCCAGATCATCTGACTCTGTCCTTCTTTCTGGACCTGTCTAGAAACAAAGGAAAAGAGGAGATGGGGGTGGTTGGCTCTGTTCATCACTTGTCTATTATTTTGTACAACTTCATTTGAACCTCCACCTCTTTGAGACATCTTAGATATCTTGGCATAATACATTTTTTTTTTATCTTAATGATTCAAATTTTAGTTCAAGTTAAGTTTAAAAACTGCTACCACACAAATTGTATTATGAAATTTATTTATATTATTTATTATAAAAAACTATTTATTATCTAAATTAATATCTGTTTTAAGTGAGAAGTACATAATATAGGCCTACACAAAAACATGTGCTCTTGCACTTTTTAAAAAAGCACACATTTTCAGTACTTATAGGTACATTACCAATAAGTTGCTGGTGGCAAAGTAAGCTGTAAATATGACAATAGTCCTACTGAAGTGACTACCCCATTTGTATCTTCACTATATCCAGGTGAACAGCCCTATGTAAACTTCCTCTATGGTCAACATACTGTATATGAAAATAGAGCAAAGTAAATATATTCTCATAATGACATAAATATCCACTGAAAAGAAAACAAACCTAAAGAGGTAATTTAATGTGGTTATTGGTATTTCCACCTATTCTGTCAGTACCATGCTGAAATGATTCATAACCTCATGCACCAACTTTCTAACCTCAGGTACAGCTTTGTCAATGGAGTTTTCTTAGTGCTTTTTCAGTAACAGCTTAACATACCTGATGTGAATGTGACAGTGCCACATGTACTTTTCATAAGAGCCAGCCAACAGAATGTATAAAACAGTGAAAAAAACAGTAGTATAAAACAGATGTTGCATTTCTTGTTATTATCTAACAAATAAGTTGGTTGTAACAAAGTTGTTGACTGTAACTTGTTTTATATACACACACACACACACACACATATCATATCATATATATATATATATATATATATACAAAAACAACTTACAATCAACAACTTTGTTACAACCAACTTGTTTGTTAGATAAGACAAAGAGACAAAGATAACTGACAAGTTTGTGTGAGTGTAAGAGGAGACAAACTTACCTCAGAATTGGTCCACAACATGGGAAATGTCTGAAGGTCTGTACAGCCTAGGCAGCACACTAATGTGATGGGCAAAAGACTACATCAGAGTGCCCTTTCACTTATTATAGACTTTTACTATCTGCACTTCCTATAGACTCTTACTGTCTGAGTCTTACTATCTGGAGGAGGTTCCTGGTGAAAGCTGCTGTTTTGAAGCCCACATGGTCTGGAGAGCAAAGATATTTCTTTTACCTTATATGAGGCAAGAACAGCCCACAAGAACAGCATGAAAAGGAAATTCTCCAGGCTGTGTGATTGGCTGTTTGGTGAGACCCCAGTGACCCTAGCCTGTGACCTGCAATGTGGGGAGAGGAGGGCTCAGGCTGAGGAGGAGGGCTTAGCGTGGGGTTGGGCTTGTTCTCCCAACTAAGGAAGGCACATTTGACAATTTTCATATTTCTTCTAAATTTGGAGATTTCTGCCCATGCTAGAGTCTTGGCAGACCTGACTATGTGAGCCCATGTGGAAACGATTAACAAAAAGGGCTTCTTGCCATTCCAATCTGCAAGCATGAGAATTGTGGAAAGGAAAAGAGAGAGTAATGAACTTCTTCTAAAAACAGTAATTTAAAATAAAGCCAAGATTCATATAGAAGTGTATATTTTGCAGAGAAGGCAATATCACTATGAAGGCTACCTCAAACATTAGTTAAAGATGAGCAAATCACTAACTTTGCTGCATGATTTAGGCTGAGGTAAGTTGCCTCAGATTTAAAGAGCATCAAATGCAAGAACCAGAGGCAGAAGCATGACATAGAAAAATGTTTAAAATGTTTTATTTTATTGGGTCAATGAAGCTGTGATGAATCTAACTAGAACAGAGTGCATGTGTATTTTAATAGCCTTGTTGAACATCACTGGCCTCACAAAACAACCAAAACTATGAGTCAGATGAGAAAAATTAGACCATTATGGCAACAAGCACCTGAAGAAAAAAAAGGCTCATGGTAGTGCAGAAAGAAACTAATCCCCACAGTGAAGTATGGTGATGGATCTGTGAAAGTCCACATGGCATTATGTTTGGGTATCAAAAGAAATTTTGTCATTCCAATACTGCTTGAAAAATGCTTAAAAACTTTTCTGAAACTGTCCCTCAAAGTCATCCCCCAAAATATTATATGAAATAAATTTTACACAAATACACAAAGGAGGTATACACAATGGTCTAAACTTCATGTTCCCAATGGGAAAGGGTGCTGTCATGAAGTTCCCTTTATGCCATCCCTACATGACAGTGTCCCTAACTACAAATTTTTGTAGCCAATAGCTGTAGCCGCTACAGTTTAATGAAATGTAGCTAATAGCTCTAGCGCCTACAAATTTATATGTAGCTATAACGAACATTTTCGCTACAATTTCACTTCAGGCTTGTAGCTACAAAGTAGCTAACTACTAATTTTTCAGTAGCTGTCCCAACCCTGCCGTAAATAGCTATGAGGACCGAGGCACAGAGGTTCAGATTTTTTGTTTTCACTTTTCTCCATTCATGAGATTAAATGTAGAAACAGCGCCATTATGATAATACCGTAGTCTACTCAGGAGCACAGCCACAGTGTCACAGACCTACCCAAATCGTGACAGAATTTATCATGCGTCATTTTTAAGTGAAATTTCAGCGCCCCTGATGTTCATGAGTAGCGTTGGGACTCTGAGGTCCTTGGAAGTTTTATATACCATCGCTATGGTAAAAATGTAGCTAGCTACGAGTTTAAGAGCGCAATTAACACATTAAGGTTGTAAAATGCAAACCCTATATTTCAGTTTTGTTTTGATTGCTCGTAATGTTGCTGGCTAAATCAGCATGCTTTAGCCTAGTTCCGGTAGCTGCTCAGTTTAGGCTACAGGCTCCATAGTTGGCTATATTAGTGATTAGGTGAGAAATTGAAGCTGTATTTTGTTACCTACACATAACATACTACAACTGACATGAGAAAGTTCACTGTTAACCAGCATATTGATGCTATAGCATCATGTAGCTAACATTATTTAGCTAACTTTAACAACACTATGTAAGCATTTGGGACCTAAGGAGATCAATTGCTGTAGTTTTAAAAGTAAAATGTTTTCCCATTCTTACTTGATATAGGATTTCAGCTGCTCAACAGTTCGGGGTCTCTTTTGTCATATTTTTTGTTTCATACAGTGCCATATGTTTTCAGTGGGTGACAGGTCTGATCTGCAGGCAGGTCTGTTAAGCACCCTACCTTTTTTTACTACGGAGCCATGCTGTTGTAACATTTGCAGAATATGGTTTTACATTGTCTTGCCGAAATAAGAAGGTCCTTTCCTGAAAAAGACATTATCTGAATGGCAACACATGTTGCCAAAACCTGTATATATCATTCAGCACTATTGGTGCCTTCATAGATGTGCCAGTCACCCATGCCATGTACACTAATGCACTCCTAGATGCTGGCTTTTGAACTGTGTGCTGATAACAACCCTGATAATCTTTAGCCCGGAGGATGCAGTGTCCACGATTTCCAAAAAGAATTTTGATTTGGCGGACTACAGAACACTTTTCTACTTCACCTCAGTCCATCTCAAATGGGATCAGGCCCAGAGAAGGCAGCAGCATTTCTGGGTCCTGTTTATATATGGTTTCTTTTTGCATAGTAGAGTTTTTACTTGCATTTATGGATGCAGTGATTAACTGTGTTCATAGACAGTGTTTTTCAGAGGTGTTCCTGAGCCTATTCAGTGATTTCCACTACAGAATCATGCCTGTTTTTAATGCAGTGCATAAAGATCTTGGCTAGCCAATACTGTTTTTCAGCCTTTTCCCTTGCCTACAGAGATTTCTCTGGATTGTCTAAATCTTTTAATGATATTTTGTACTATAGATGATGAAAGTTCTTTGCTATTTTATGTTGAGAAATGTTAATCTTGAATTGTTGCACTATTTGCCTGTGCAGTTTTTCACAGAGTGGTGAACCACTGCCCATCTTTACTTTTGAAAGCCTCTCTGGGATGCCCTTTTTATACCCAGTGATGTTATTGACCTGTTGCCAATTAACCTTCAGGTGTTTTTTTTAGCATTACACAACTTTACCAGTCTTTTGTTGCCCCGTCCCAACTTTTTTAGAATGTGTTGCTGCTATCAAATTCAAAATGGGCATACATTTTTCAAAAAACAATAACATTTCTCAGTTTAACATTTGATATGTTGTCTTTGTACTATTTTCAAATAAATATAGGGTTTAAATGATTTGCACATCATTGCACTTTGCTTTCATTTACATTTTGCACAGTGTCCCAACTTTTTTGGAAATAGGGTTGTATATGATAATATGATAAGATGGTAATCTTGTTAGTGTATAGTAGTAACCTTCTGTAGGAGCACTGGGTGGTGCTGCGTGGTGGAGGAGCAGAGATGCCGCAGGTCAGCAGAGCTAAGTGGACCAGCTTCCCTCTGTCTTTTTCTCCCACTCTCACTCTTTCTTTCAGCACAAGAAACACAGGGGGATTCAATGGAGCCTGAAGACTCCCTACAAGAGACAGCACCCTTACCATGCACCCTGAGTCTCAATTCCTTGGGCCTTCTGGACCGGTTTGACCACCATGAAGCTTCTCGCTGTACAATGCTGTGTAAACCTCACCTGCATGAACTGACCTTTCTGATGTATAGATCTTTGTCTGCTGCTGACTCAAACTATTTAATTATAACCATTGCTTCACCTGTTTTTCCCTGTTCCTGTATTTTATTATTTTATACTAACGCTATTTGCTATCCAGTGTCGATCAGGAGAGGATGGGTTCCCCTTTTGAGTCTTCCTCCCAAGGTTTCTTCCTCTTGCTCTTACAGAGTTTTTGAAACATTCTTATCCTTCCCCTGCCTCTAAATTTATCGATAAGCATTAGGATATGATTGCTCTTTACTACCACACAAGTTTAAAAACATAATAATTATAATACTAAAAAAGCAAATAATTAAGCTTCAACTAATTCAAAGCAATAAACCACAGCAACACGTTTTGAGGTAATGTGGCCAAGGTAATGTGGCCAACAAGGCAAGTAAAGTATTGTAAATCAATGTATTTATTGACTACTAATTACCAAAAGTTGCAGTTCAGTATTTCTGAGTTCAAATTGCCTGACTTCCAGGAACTATCCGAAGTCTACGTGAATCATGTGACCATCAAGCATTTTGAACTTCTTTTGACATGACTCTATGTGAACCTGGTCCAGGTTAATGCTGTGAACCCACGTGCATCTCCCTCTCTTCATATCGCTGTACAAAGCTAGGAACGGTCACTGTAAATCAAGTTTTTATTATTGATGTCTTTATCTCATCTACATAAAGTTTATTTAAGCAACAAATGTACAATACAGCTGATTGTATTACGTGAAAATGCAACACAAGCAGAAACCGCTTTTGCCTCGCAACGCACTTGTGTCGCGTCCGGGGTGGAACAACAAGCGTCACGAAGTGGTTCCGGATTACCACCTGTGCCGCGTCACGTCTCGTGAAAAGGGCTTTAGACTCAGTCTTTTAGTCTGATCTGAGATTTATCACTGGAGACCCCTACAGTACTCATCATTGCACACTGTATCAAAAAGTAGGTCATTCCATTCTGTTTATTCCTTTCTGTAGCCAGTGTTTCCCAGCTGCTGTTTATCGACAGGGCACTGGCCATATGCAATCTAACATTGCATCAATGCTTTCTGTAAACAATGGAAATTATCAAACTCGTTCAAGTGACTGGATCACCCGTCAGGTACAAAGGCTTTTACTGAACTAGAAAATCTGCTTTTAGCTGCAGTGCACCAACCAGCTGGAATTTATTACAGAATTCTCTAAAAATCCACTCACTGGTGTCACTCAACTGTTTTAAAGTGGATATGAAACACCCTAATTTTGACAAGTTTTGTACAGAATTGATGGTTGGGATATATTTTGAGAAAGTTTAGATATCAAACGGTTATACGTTAAATTATAATAGATTTATATTTTGTACTAACTTATGTTAGTACAACTCGCTGCCATATTGCCGTTGCGTCACTGAGGTTGGTTAATTATAAAGTCGACCCAGGAAGACGCAGTCACGGTAGTTACATGGAATTTCGAGAGAAGCTTGCTGGTTGTTCGAAGAAAAAGGCTGGTTGTTTCAGTCACATTATGGCAGAAGACAAAGCTGAAAAGTGTTTTGAGGAGATTCCAAGAAATCCAATGGCTTAAACATTCGAGCCAGTGAGG